CGATACTCCATTCAGCCTCATCAAACCCACCCAGAACTTTTAGTAGAATGTGAAGACTCCCCAAGACTGCAGCCATCTGCATTATCCAGATTGTCAGAAGGGCTGTATTCCTGGTAGCAAACCCGGGTACTCTCCAAATGTCACTCAACAGATTGGGAGGTACCAAACCTAAGGCAACGAGAACAATGGGGAGTCGGACAACTTGGTACTTGGGATGCAAGCGTGACATTCCGAAAGCGAGGTCTGCATATTTGCCATGTTTTTCCTTAATCTTGTCAATCACATTAGTGTCAAAGGGGACAGAATTCAATGATATAAATGATTTCCTCAGATTTATCAATTTAAAGGACAAGATCAGGTTTGTTGGCCTGGATATGCTTGAGGCTGTATACGGGCCTATTCCAAAGGATTTTGTATTTATCATTTTCCATGACGCCCTCTACATATTCCGGGTCGTACCATGTATGGATCTCTGTGTCAAAACCAAAAGCATGGCGAAGACGGTAATAAAATGATTGAGCCACCCCATCATGTCGCTTAAGATACTGTGTCTGTGCCAAAGCTGGACATCCACTCAATGTGTTGGACAGTCAAATTCATAACATAATCTCCATTTCATATTCACATTTTGATGCAAAATCACACATTGACGGTTTCGAGTTGGAAGTGACTGGTCCTGAGCAGCAAACAAAAAGCCTTCTGTTTTACTTTTCAGGCCAGACGACTTCATCCAAACGAAGGACTCTGCGGGATTGCTGATCTTCTCAACACACTGCACATAAACTCGATGCAGTGGTCGTTCAGAAAGCCTCTCCTGGAAAAACTGAGTCTGGGCTGATTTGATCTCCCACGTCCATCTTTCAGAGAGCGTCTTGGTTCTACACTAATTAGTTGTTCGGTTACAAGAGCAGCAACATGGGTTAGCCATAAAATCTGTAGAACGGATTCCTGACAACACAAGCGCCCAATGTCACAGTCTTCTCGATCTGACCTCAATGGAGGTGTTCCGCTATAGTTGCAGGCAGCTGCATACCACATCCTACGGTGTCGATCACATACTCTGTGGGCGCATCGTGTTTATCCACAACGAGATCTACAATCATTGTTGACAGCCTTGTCGGCCATCAGTCATATCAGATAAGCTGCGTGACTTATCTTATGAGTTGAGCAAACCTTCCAACACCTGCTGAAATTACAGTTTATCGACACGTCAAATAAAGAGCAGATGTAAAGAGCAGATGACGTACATCTTCATTGTCCCGTCATATATTATGCTCGTAGCTGGAATTTTTCCTCTTGCCATGAAGTATGGAGCAGAGTTATACCATTCGGATCCACTCGGCTTATTCCGTTACCACGGAGAGAAATGGAGTGGTGATATGAGTTCAACATACACACCGCCTACCAACCGATTCCTCCGCATGTAGTTCGCACAATATGAGGCTGTATTTGAGAACTGACCATTGTAGTGGCCCGTGGTTTCGTGTGCAACAAACAGTTCACAAATCAAGCGAAAAATAAAGTTGCGGAGAGTAGGTGGGTATTCGGTCGGATGAGATGGTTATGTTTCTGTAAACCTTCCAGCGCCTAATAATTCTCCTCGGGTAGACACACCCGTGATGATCTGTTTTCTGGAAACTTGTGCTGGGATTGGCAAGATCAAAATAAGGGAATTTGGCCAATTAGTTTAGCTTGAGCTATGGGTATATCGATGATCCGGTATTTTAAATTATTGTCAAATAGCCAATTCCCTTCCACTGATTTACCCACCTGAACTGCTTCGTCTGTCTCAAATAAAGATTTATGCAAAAGAAATTATTATCGGAATATAGCAATCGGTCACCAAGGTGATGTCTGGTGCGGTTCAATTTTTCGCCTTGTGCCGTGTGTTCCATGTATTTTTCGGGTGGGCGCTTGACTAACCTTTGCAACTCCGTCGTAATATCGCTGGAATATCGTAATAATATAGCCATACTTTTACTGGATAATTGTAATAATACCGTCGTAATATCGCTTAATATCGTAAATAAAAACGTCGTAATATCGCTTGTTTCATTCACATAGGGGTACAACATGTAAAACCTCTCGTGTATCTCATGTAATATCGCTGGAATATCGAAATAATACCGTCGATATATCGCTGGAATATCGTAATGATATCGTCGAAAAATCGCTGAAATATCGAAGACTGGCGAAATGATATAAACAGAACAGAACCATTTCCATAAACATAAAAAATCATAAACTCTGAAATCTGAGAAAACACCGTTTTCGTATCGAGATGAAAAAGTGTTTAGCTTAGCACTCCTTTCGTTAATTGTGAACTTCTGTGATGTGTTTATATATTTTTTTCGGAAATAGTAAATGTATTAGTCACAGGAAGTTTGATAAAGATTTCCCATGTCTGCGTCAGATAAACACGCCATGGCTGAGTGCAGATCTAGGTAGCGCTAAAGCGAGAGTGCTCTTCCTTCCACAGGAAACTAATTAAGAATGGACTTTGATGGAAGATGAACCTTCATAGAGTGAGGGCCAAACTAAATGAACGTCGGAGCCTGCGACAATATAATCGTTGGCCCTTACTCTATGAAGGCTCATACTCAACGAACTCTCACAAATTTAAAGTCAATTCTTATTAATATATTTCTATCACTTCTTTATTATACCTCAAGAGTATACTTGTTACGTCATGTTTAGAGGGGGCACGGGTGGCCCAGTCGTCTAAGGCGCCGCAATTCGCTGTGCAGAGTCGCGTCCCTTGGGCACGCCAGAAACCTATGATTGTGGGTTCGAATCCCGGTTCGCCCCGATTATGTTTCTAGGTTTGTCAGCACCATACCCGTGCTCGTGGGTTTCACAGAAGTAGTAAACGTCTGAGACCTGCATCACTTCGGGCTTTCCTCCCACATTAAGCTGACATGCCATGATATAACTGGAATACTGTTAAAAGCGGCGCTAAACCCAACTCACTCACTCACTCATGTTTAGACTGACAGCCATTCAACAACCATGATCGTATGTAAGCTCAGATTTCTCTGTAGCAACATCTTTGTACAACAAATAGATTCAATAATATCATCCTTTGATGAGAAGAGTTTGTTAAGAACTACTACATTTAGTCACAGCGAGAGCGCGTCGTCGTACTTTTCCATCACGTACGCGTACAGGACGTCAATATGGCCAACATGATAAACGTGACAGGAGAGATTTCCGAAGTTTTAAATGAAATTGGGACGATTACAAGTATGTTTGTTTGTTGTTTAACGCCGCACTCAGCAATATTCCATCTATAGGACGGCGGTCTGTAACTAATAGAGTCTGGACCAGACAATCCAGTGATTGATATCATGGGCATCGATCCACGCAATTGGGATCAATGACATGCATCAACCAAGTCACCGAGCCTGACCACCTGATCCCGTTAGTCGCCTCTTATGACAAGCAAAATCGTCATTTACGGTAAGCATGGGTTGCTGAAGACCTATTCTACCCCGCATCTTCACGGATGATCATCTGAGGTCAATTGGCCGACCATTGAAAGGTGATCCATTTATAAAGATGTGTCAAATTGATACTGAGGTAAATTCCTAGATTGATGTAGACTGTCACTGTCAGTCGGATCGCGTAGATGGTTTGGATGTGCGTTTCTTCGTTTTGTTCACTACGATGGGTCGAAGCGAGGATATTTGTGAACGGGCATGGAGTCAAACTCTCTGACTTTTCCCAATGTATGTTAAAACGCTGAGTTCAAGATTAAAGGGTCTAAATGATCAGAAACCACGCTACTGTGTTTATTCGTTCAATGGAATTACCAGGGGTAATATGAAAGTAGTCCGTCTGTGTTTAAGTCAGTTTTAAAGAATACGATCTTGTGAAATACGTATGAACGTCAAAATCATTCGTCACTAACTCGTGTTATTCGCGGACAAGCCAAATAGCGACTCGTGCCCCTCTCGTGGCCGTTTTTTCGACCGGGTTCCGTCTGACCGCAAACGGGCATAGCTAAAAGAATTGTCAACTCGTTGCGTAAAAGTTCACGTATATATTCCCATATATATATATCATATATATTCCAGATGCTATTTATGCGGTTTTATGCGGTATTCTACAGTATGATTAAACACATTTAACTGTATCTTGGGTATATTTTTAGACGCAAGACATATGTAAAATATAAGTATTCCTGAGGGATTCTTTGACCGAAGTACTTGAAATCATACGCGCATTCTGATTGGTTAGTCGAACTTTCGTACATAACTTTCATCGATAGATAAAATAGTTTTCTTGCTTGTTACGGAAAGGGGCGAGTGGTGGCGAATGCGTCAAAATGTGTTGTTCATACGCATATGACCTTCATGTGACCGGCCTCTCGTCCGATGGAAAAGCCGTGTGTCGTGAAAATGTCACATTAAAAAAAGAAATTCTTTGTAGTGTTTAATGTTAATTACATTTAATGCAACAACATTAATTAAATTTAATGGATCCAACGAAAGCAGGCGTTGGTCGGCTGATCACCGAGAATGTATGACTACATTTATTTATAAAATCTAGTCATATAAAGTATTTGATTGTCCGCATATTTAGTTGATTATAACTTATTGTCACTGGTTCAGTGCAGCAAACACGTCTCATAAAGGACATAAAAAGGCATAAGAGGAATAACACATTAGGCTCGAAGTTACTAATAAACATCTCTGTAGATATATGTTTGTGTTTCAAAAGTCATATTTTTTTTTACAGAAATAGCCATCAGTCTGCTGAGATGTCCATTCTAACTACTAAAACGTAACGGATGAGTTATGATTACAAATATGTTATACGCCTAGGTATGCATACACGTAGTCGAAAATCCCGTGAATTATGAACGCTCTCACCCAAGCACTCCTCTAACCGCAACTATAAGCTGTAGTGCAGAGGAGACTCCTCTCACGCCGCTACCATCCCCACAACACACGGCCCCTCTGCTCACTGATTATCCCACCAGCAGAGGTATTTAATATTCCAGTCATCTCTAAGAAGGACGCGCGTGCGCACGAGAGTCTTTAACTCGGAAGTAGCGAGCGTACAATGAAGTCTTGTGGTTTGCCGTGGTCGTTGGAACTTAATTTTGTATTTCAACACTTGCGTGGAACTGGAGGAGAAATCCAAATGCCGTAGCTTGGCGATACGAGTGACTCGCATTGATGCTAGTTAGTGCATGGAGGACTGATACAGACAGTTCGTTCTGACTGCAGATTGTTATGTCAGTGACATGAGTCAGTGCGCACATACTCGTGCCATCTTCACCAAACTAAACTTGTGTAAAGGATGTATATTTGTGCTTCTAATAGTTCTGACAGCATCACGTAGCGGTGAGTACCACAAACATCGTCCACATTTTGCATAGATGCATGTAAATACTGTATGTGTATGTTACGTGTTTGCTCAGATATCCTGGCTACTGGTTCCAACATGCATCCTCTGCTACAGAAGGTGCTTGACAGGGTACTGGTAAATGAAGATGAGGCAGGCGATTGCTTGGAATACCTTTATCATTACTCGTTAAATAATGCTGATTGGCAGATTGTCGTCTTGTAAAAACCCATTCAAATTTGCTAGCCGTCCTGATTGAATATGATGACGTCATAATATTTGATCTGACGTCACTTGTGACGTCATAATTAATCTGTTTCCGCCTTGAGTTACCATGCTGTAAATCTGATGTCGGTCGCAAGATATATATTATTGTCACAAAGAAATGTGTCGCCGAAAATAAGTCTTTTTTTAACTTGTAATCTAATAATGACCATCGGTCTCGTGGTGTTCAGTCCCGTACATTCTGCTAGTGACACATTTTGTTACGAGGCTGGCTGATCCGGTGTAACATCGGACTCTCACTGAAGAAATCGAGCTTACAAACAAAGTATAGTCGTATCTGGTATAGCAGACCCATATTGTACTTAGGGAATGCTAACCTCTTTTTATACACACTCCTTGATAACAGATGCAATATTCCCATAACATTATCGTCTACAAAACGCACCTCATTGCAAGGAGTGTTTGAAAACATTTTACAGGTAGCAATAATCACTTGTCAACCTCGCGGTGATTAGATAGGCATACCTAATTGCATGGTTCGTGTCACTGTTGTACTCAGTAAACATGATGTCGTTCACGGATATTGCCGTTTACTGAAAGGTGAAATAAATGTCGTGTCACTGCCGTGCTCTACAAATCGAACATTTGACTCTTTGACGTTAACAACACTAAAACAATCGGGGAACAAACTTTTAATTAAACGGAAAGGGCAGGCATGCAGGGAAGAATGACATAGTTCAACATGCACATTGGTATAAACGTCGGAACAAATACGCTCGCCGATGGCCTGGGTTCGATTCCAAAAAAGGAAATAATGTATGAAGCCAAATTCTGGTGTTTCCCAAACCGTCATATTCTTGGAATATTACAAAATGCGACTCCACTCACTCACTTACCCTTTAAATAAAACTCTTTCAAATATATTTGCGGAAATGAGGTCAAATATTAAATATAATAAATGACCGAAATTGCAATGATGGTCAACGTTGTATATGCTCCTAAGATTCTCGAATACCGGTGTCATCACCATAATTTACAAGCAAGTATGCGTTTAGGTTTTTTACAAAATAATTTATTGTAACTACGTTTACATGCTCCTGTTCATTTCATGTGACTAAGGGGTTGTGGGGTAGCCCAGTGGTTAATGGTTCACTCGTCCCGTCGAAATCCGGGTTCGATTCCCTACATGGGTACTTTGATGCCCAATGCTGTAGATGTTGCTGGAACAGCTAAAAGCGGCGTAAAAACCCTGCCCCTCACTCGTGTGACTTAGTTACGAATATGAATACGACTCGACGTGACCCGTGAAGATTCCGGGGTAGAATAGGTCGTCAGCAACCCACACTTGCCGTAAAAGGCGACTATGCTTGTCGTAAAAAGCGACTAACGGGATCGGGTGGTCAGGCTCGCTGACTTGGTTGATGCATGTCATCGATCCCAATTGCGTGGATCGATGTTCATGATATTAATCACTGGATTGTCTGGTCCAGACTCGATTATTTTACAGTCCGCCGTCATATAGCTGGAATATTGCTGAGTGTGGCGTTAAACAACAAACAAAAAAACAAAAAACCGAATCGCCGTCTTCACCACGAACACAGTCTTCAGCACAAAACCTGGCCACAGCGTACTTGTTCCAGTTCGAGCTTTAACAAAGAATGTAATACAACACATGACTTCATCCATTTATCTTTTCAATCCAGTCGGAACATACATTTCCTTTTACTTTGCTCCTTAGATCTAATTAGTGCACATCTTGCCAAGGTCTGATTAACGTTATTCCAGCTATGTACTGACGGCATGCTCCACGGCTGATCCACAGCTGTGTTGTTGGAGGAACCAACGGGATCCTGTCGGATCTAAAAAACTCGATTGTTTCTTCCTGCATAATCGACCCCTGATGTAACGAAGTCGGATATAAAAGCTATAACAGACCGAATGAATACTATCTAACAGGGGGTGAATAACACATTGTTCGGCAAATATCAAAATATGATAAAAATACATCAAGTGTTTATGTTAGAAACTGGGAATCCCAAAACAAATAATCATTCAGATAATCTTTCAATGTAATAGTTTCTTTTTTTGCTGTTCTGTTGAATGTAGAAACACGTTTGTAGAAAGAAGGATTCAAAGTAAACTACTAGTACGGGAATGTCACTGCAGCACAAGGGTAAGTCTGTGCACCGATGTAAATGGCAGCATCGAGATATAACTATGTTTATTATTATGCTATGAGGTGAGGTGGTCAGTTGGATTTAACGTCTAAAGTAACGGCAAAGCAAACACGAACATGCTTAGTTCTTCACTGTTTTGGATCGTTGTAAGGAGAGTGTGTTTGACCTGAAAGAGTATTCTTTAGCTTGGGATAATGAGCTTGCTTTGGTCGTGGAATTCAGCAATCGCCCCAATTATGACCCTAATAGTGACAGAGGAGTTATGTGTTTCTATTTTGGGCTGCTTGTACTAGTCCAGACTAGTGCCAGTTATATAATGCTAGCCCTCTGAGACGCCATGCCGCGGTTTAGCATGAATGCCCCATTCAGAAACAGTAAACTGACTCTGAGCCAGCCAGTTCTTGCTTTATTCTCCTAATACCTAGCGCCAGGCAGCATAACAACAAGTACCATAGCTATGACACGATCGGGGATCGAACCACCGACCTTCCGTCTCCGGCTAGACGCTCTATCCAATGAACCAATTTATACCTATGTGCCCAATATTTGTTTTAGTGCTTATAGGACGCAGAGTGAGTGAGTGAGTGAGTTTGATTTAACGCCGCTTTTAGCAATATTCCAGCAATATCACGGCGGGGGACACCAGAAATGGGCTTCACACATTGTACCCATGTCGGGAATCGAACCCGGGTCTTCGGCGTGACGAGCGAACGCTTTAACCACCTGGCTACCCGACCGCCCCTTATAGGACGCAGAACACAACGACACATTTAACCTTTCTTCACAGATGCACATGCCACATTTCTTCTCCTTGACAAGGATATATTATTGTATGACATTTTACCATACAATCTCTGATCGAGCTTGAGTGAGCCCAAGTGTCTTATTGTTTACAGTGACCATGGTCACGGCTTCCAGGTGGAGATAAACATTTTTACTGACAATTATATGATATGCCCAGAGTTACCTTCCTTACATGTGCAGAGATCCGCAGATTGTGTGTTCGAATCCCACCTTAATTGTGATCCTTAGTTTGTCGTTGCTCGTTGATTTTATGAAAGTGGGGTACGTATACGATTTTTAACTTTAGGCTGTCTTCCAAACTGAAAGCTGTATTTTTATATTTCATGGTTTACGGGTTCTCTGCTTATCAATTGGATTGAATAGGTCGAATAAAAATATAATGTGTGTGGCTCAATACTTTAAAAAAATTCTATTTGACTTGAAATTGTATTGGTCTGTAGGTTACGTAAAATAAATCTAATTCTATTTAAAGTGTAGGATGTTTGCTGTGTTAATAGTAACATACATGTATGTAATCTTTACTTGTCAGTAAAGTATTGGCTCCCTTTGTCATTATAAGGTGTTCTATTGGCATAATACTGTACAACGCAGTTTTATTATTTATAATAGTTATTGTTTTGTTGAATATTTTCAGTGGTATATTTGTCTCTTTTTTGCTGTTTATTGATCTGGTTGTTCGAATATATAAACCGCAAATATCGTCTAATCTGACACGCTGTGCTGTTACTGAAATAAAAGGAACAAATTCCTTTCCGTATTCATAAGAAATATCTGACAAAAGCAGAGTCGATTGTACGATTCCGACTATATCATGAGCACGTGTTTATGAATCACTATCAAATACCAGGTGCTCACGAAAAAGTTAGCGTGTCTTGCCCCGCCGGTGGTACCCATCACAAACACATGCAAAGATAAGTCAAGTGTTTACCTTAAAACACGGGAATATATGTAAGTGGAAATAGGGAACTGCAGTGGACATTTTTGTCACTGAAGCGTCAATTCTGGAAATGTCCTGCAATAAAACTGTTTGAAAGCTCTACGGAGGCCTTGAATGCTGTTACCTTGATCAAACAACCTTTGTGTAAGAATCGTATGACGCACTTGAAATCTTCGTAGAAATAGTATGCTCGATTATTCCTTAATAGTTGTGAAATGTAGACACCAAAGGCTGGAGCTGCTAGACTATTGCTGTGATACCAGTCAAATCGAACCCACTCTTGTGTGGCCGATAGTCTAGTCTCAGAAATGAAATAGTTAAGACTTCAGGTTGCAACTGAAGAAATCAAGACATGTCAAAGTATTGCACACTTAATTTGAGTGTTGGATATTTGTTTTAGGGTCTGGGCGAGAGACCACACTGATTCAAACAATGACATAGCTTACAGGTGAATAAGCGTAATACTATTCAGATAAACATCCACGGTATTCTTAGAAAGCAATAACGTTATAATTGTCAAAGAAAAATGTTAACTGTAAACCAAACTTACAGCGCTGTTAGTGCAACACACGTCAGTGTGTTTAACATTCAGCTGATTACCTACTTGATAAGGTACTACTTCACACGATTCGTCTTTAGCGGAGTAACAGAAGTCTCGAAGATCTGTATTAGATTCATCAGTGTTTCAACTTATGTTTCACAAAGGTTCCATACGTGTCAGTGCTCGACGGGGTATGCGACATTCCAAGGCCTGACCATAAAGCTGTGTAAATCTCTCCCCGACATCAAACCAACAAAATCAACAATAATTCAGAAGAGAGCCAGATGAATACAGGCACCCCACGAAACAGGCAGT